TTCTTCTATATTACCAAAATTTAAAATTTCATCCAAAATAAATGGAATGGAAATAGCACCATCAAGCTTTTTACGTGATTGATGAAATTGGTAAAAACATAATAAAGAAATGAAAGCTAAAAAAATATTTTAATTATTAACCGTAAATAGTAAATTATTTAAACAATTACGATATATGTTATATAAATAAAATACTTACTTGAATCTTTTTTTGAGGGGAGAATAATTTCATTTGTTATTACAGCAGATGGAATTTTGCTTGTTAAATCAATGACAATAGTATTTTCTTTCAAGTTTTCTGTGATTATATTATTATTAATCCTTTTCTTTTTAGCTAATATAAGTGAATTTTATAAATATAAGATATAAAATAAAAACAAATATAAAAACAAAATAATAAAATAAAATAGAATAGAATAGATACCTTTGGAGTAATCATATTTGTTAAGGCAACTTTTACATATATTTACAAGAGCTTGGTTTGCACATATTTCAAGTTTTGAGGAAACTTTTGACTAAAACCAAGCAATAAATTCTGTATCAAATTTATTGTTTCTTTTTTTTTACCATTTCTAACGTGAGTGTTTTAGTGCGAAAGCATTTGGTTTCCTCAATATTTCTACTCCAATACATGGTAGTAGACTCACAAAGACAAAGACTACCATAAAGTTTGTTGCATTTTATGCAAATTAGGCATATAGGAATGCATTCAAACGATAGCTCAAAGTTGGTTTCATTTGTAAAGTGAGATAAAGAATATAAAAGTGATACAGATTACAGTAATCGATCAATCATAAATTACAGTAAATAATATTTATATGATTAATGAGACTGAATGTGGCGAATGTGACTGAATGCGACTGATTCAACTGAAATATTTTTTGATTGGTCCAAAAATTATGAAAATAGCTGTAAATAAATAATTAAATATTTACCTTCGTTCATTACTTTCAAATAAAATTTATCCATTCTTGCTTTCTTGAAATGGTTATTAATTTGTAATTTCTTTCCTTTAATATTATAATTATAATTATATTAATTTTTATTAGAAATTTTATTAAATTTTTTAATTTATAATTCTTACTACTTTTTGATGATGTTGCTGTTGCAACTGCTGCTAACTCTTTTCCTTTCCCTTTACCTCTCTCTTTTTTTTTTAATATATTTTCTAATGCAGTTAAAGTCATTTCTGCTATGGTTAATTTATCTTCAGCTTCCTTCGTAGTTGTTTCATTCTCATTTTTTCAGCAGCAACAATAGTAGCTGCAGATTTTGCAATTGCAGCTCTTGCAATTATTATTTCTTCTTGTTCTTTTGGTTCTTCTGATTCTTTTAAATCTTTATTTTTATTTTTTTTATTATTTTTTTTATTATTAATATAGTCCAGGTAATGGTTTAAATATTTTTTTATAGCTTCATTAATAAGCCATCTTTCTTGTCTAATATTAATATTTGTATTTCTTTTCTTAAACTACAAGTAAACAAATTAATATTTTAAATAATTCAAAATAAAAATATTTATAGAAAATAGCAATTTTACCTTTTCAATAATTTTAGATATTTTTAAAATAT